ATATCTTTTTGCCTTTTAGTACTGTCCATGGGGTTTTCATGGCAAAGATACTGGAGTGGTTTGCCATTTCCTTCCCCAGTGGATCACATTTTGTCAGAACTCTCTGCTATAACCTGTCCATCTTGGGTGGCCCTGCACGGCATAGCTTATAGCTTCATTGAGTTACGCAAGCCCCTTCGCCACGACAAGGCAGTAATCCATAAAGGGGGTCAGGCATGTACTTCACCATTTAGTTAAGGTTATTTTGTGCATTATTTGGTTGTGTGGTTTATGGTGGTGATGAGTTTCTGGTGGGTGAGTGATACAGAGTCTGAGTATTCTGGCCTTGGAGAGAAATCCAGAGGGTCTGTTGGTGGGAGTAAAGAGAGGATAGAGGACAGGTAATGCCATAGTAACAGAGAAAGATAAAGTGGAAAGTCAAATTAGAGGACAGCAGTCATGTTTTGTCCTCAGTGTTCACTCTTGGTACCAAATGATTGCATCCTTGGTGGTCCCGGGCTTTATCTGCTACTTGTGAATGCCAGTTTGGTTTGCAATAAATCTGCCCTAAATCATGATTTTGTCAATGAGGTGCTGACCTTACATGTACAGGTAGTCCTTGTTTAGTGACTGCCTTGTATAGCAACCTTTTGAAATTACAGTGGTGATGAAAATGTAACTTTGTAATGAAACTTCTCATTTTGATAGGTCTATAAATCAAAATTGAAGAAAGAGCATAAGCAGAGTCATGTGAGGATATTTCCTGAGGTAGTGGACAAAGTCTTCCAACAAAGTTTGGTCCACTGTTTATTAGACCCAGGTCCTTCCTGCATTGCAAAAGTAGTTCAAGTGGTGACCTGTAATTAGGCGTGAGGTGGCACTGCAGAAGACCATTGTGCCAAGGAGTTTAGTGTCTTATTTTGACTTCACATTAAGAAAAATCTAGTTTAGAACTCATTCTGAGGTAACCTGTTTTTCTCTCATTTGCTGAATAAAGCGGGGGGGGGGGAATCTCCACATAGCTGCAAAAGTGACTCTCAGACTTTTGGTTCCCATCCCAGAGTCGTGTGCCACCCAGTCAAGGTCAGGTCTTGCAGTCTCATGACCATAGTAGGGCATGAAGCTGTGGTGCCAGGTTTTGATAAAATCCTTGGAGTTGTTATTTGTGGGAACTTCTGTATAGAAACTAGCATTAGGTACCGTGGAGGCTGGCTATCCTTGGGCTATATCTGCTGTCATTATTAAGGTATTCTTAATAGGTTGTAAGAGATTTGGGTGTCATCTTGCTTTGTATGCATGCTTTTAAATGTTTTATTGAGTTAATCATTGTGTGCTCATAGTTTCTGGATCCAAAAGAAGCAATTGCCTGGACATCTATCACTGCCCTGACACCTGGTAAAACAAGGTGTCAGCCTCTCAGGAGGCAGCAATTGTGTTCTTCTTTCTCAAGAGGCCATTTTTGGACCCATCTCTTCTGGACAGTTATTGTCCAGTCTCTGATATTCCCTTTCTTGGAAAGGTTGAGAAGATAATTAAACAATTACAGGTCTTGGAAAACAAAAACAATCTGGATCTGTTGCAGTCAGGTTTCACTTCAGGCTATGGTATGGAGCCTGCATCAATATCATATTTGTTGATGACCTTTGGCAGTTAGGAGGAAGATGTCACTTCTTGATCTCTCAGTGCCTTTCAATACTATCAACCACAGTATTCTTCTTCTACAGGGGAGTATAGGTGGTTGTATGCACAGTCCCTCATTTGTGGACCAAAAAGCTCAGCATTCTCATCCTTGTTTTAACATGTGGGTGAAGTGACCCACAAGTTCAAGGTCTGGTATCATCAGTATGTTTTAAATCTGCCATGACCTTCTCCCAGTCTCTTAAAAGTCCTGAGCCAGATATTAATCAAAGCTAAGAATAGCTTCCCAACCTTATCAGATTCAAAGGACCAAGATATGAGTTGTGAATGAAGTTGCAATGGCAGACAGAATTGCAGAAAAGTAGAATTTTAAACCATGATTAATCTCATCCCAGGATTACATTCTGGTGCATCCAGATCACTATGAATCACTCTCAGATAGGAGAGCTGCAGTCCAATTTATAAATGTTTGTAAGCACTATTGACTTATATTAAGGGGAGGCTCTTCTTTTTATTGTGCAAGAACAGCCTGAAGCCCCAAAGAGCTTTAGCAGCATTAAGCTATGGCTAGAATACAACTGAAAATACTAAGAAACAGCAATGCAGATGGGCCAGGCTCACATCCATGCCCAGGCTCACATCCATCCATCCAATAGACCTATTGAAAAGCTTTTGGCAGAGGTGCTTGGCCAGTCAGTCCCACTAACCTTACCCTCCTGCTCCCATTTTTGACGTCCATCTGGCCAAGCTCGTCACAAGACGGTTGACAGAATGGAATCCAGTTTACTATTTGAATTGCAAATTATCAGTTCTTCAAACCACTGCAGATTTGTAACTGTTTGGTACTGTATTCTATTGTTTAGTACAATACCAATCAAAATACAATAGAAAGAGGAGAGCCCCAATAATTTTAATTGTATTTTTTTTTCTCTTTAGGCTGATTGAAGAACAATTTCAAACACATTTTTGAGAAAAGGATGGGAAATTCAGGTTAAGCTTTTCTTCCATAAGGCAGAGCCCTACTGGGAAATTCCAATTTAAAAAAAAAAAAAAAAAGTACAAGTATTACTATGATATGCATGGAATATATCAATATAAATTGACAGATAAACCAATTTATTTTGCCATATCTATCATTCACAATAAAAAGTTTTAATTTCCTTTTAGTATACTTTTATTCTGGCATATTTTATTGACTATCCCTCCCTACTTATCTATCTTCTTATCTACTTATCTACCTACCTACCTACCTATCAGCTAATGCTAAAAGACAGATAAAAGACCATTACTTTGTAATAATATTACATATATACTAAAAGAGTAACATAATTATATTGTATAAGACAAAAGAAAAACCTAGCCTATAATAAAGAAAACGTTCTACTAGACCAGGGGTCCCCAACCCCTGGTCCGGCACCGGTCTGCAACATGCCACACAAACAAACAAAGCTCCATCCTCGGGATGCTGGCAGTATTCAAAACCACACCCCTTCTGGTCCACGGAAAAACCTTTCTCCATGGCACCAGCCCTTGGTGCCCAAAAGGTTGGTGACCTCGGTACTAGACTGTGTGGATGTACAGATAACAAACCTTTAAAACTAAACTAAAAGCTCAAACCCACATCTAAATTATATTTATTTTTAAACATTTAAAATTTTATCTAAATTTTTGACCAAGCTGTTAAAATTTCAAATTTACATAATTTTCTTCAAATTTTAAATCAATTTTTGAATAATTAAATCTAGCACACACAGAATCATATTGCCTGTCTCCTTTGGTACAAAGTCTAAGAGTTGATTCAATATAGGTAGTTCTCAACTCACAACCATTCATTTAGTGACCATTCAAAATTACAATAGCACTGAAAAAAGTGACTTTTGACTGGTTTTCACACTTATGACTATTGCACCATCCCCGTGGTCACAAAATTCGAATTCAGACACTTGGCAACTGGAATTTATTAAGGCACCAGGCTAGAAAGTAAGAAGCTGTGAGTTCAAGTCCCACCTTAGTCTGGGAAGTCAGGTGGGTGATTTTCGGCCATTCACTCACTTTCAATCCAATTTACCTCACAATTGTTGTTGGGGGGAAAATAGGAGGAGGAAGGTGTACTGGATATGTTTGCCATGCTAATTGTAAAAATAGAAAAGTCGGGATATAAACAAACAAATAACAGTCACACTGTCCCAGGGTCATATATTCACCAATTTGTAACCTTCCTAGCCAACTTTTGACAAGTAAAGTCAATGGGGGAAGCCAGTTTCATTTAATGATTGCATGATTCTTTTAACAACTGCAATGATTCGCCTACATTCTGCAAAAAAGGTCATAAAATGGGGTAAATTTCACTTAACTGCCTTGCTTAGCAGTGGAAATTTTGGGCTCAATTGTGGTCATAAGTCAAGAATTATCTATACTTCATGAGTACATAACTGCTTTTTCATAACTGCCCAAGCTTGATATAGCCAAAATTCTCCACAGAATGAAATATTCCAAATGTTTTAGAATATATTTTAACAAAATATGAAGATCTTTTTGCCTTCCAAATATCTGATTAACTACAACATTTAACCAGAAATTACAAATGGAAACATATTTGTATGGATTTAACTTTTACTATAAACCACCTGAAAAACTCACCAGAGTATTGAACGTTAAACAATATTGTAAATAAAATTTTACCTCTTACCCTATATCATAGAAAGCCCATGCTTTCAATTTTTTTATAAATGACTAGATTTTCAGTGATTAATTTGTCCAATACATCTGGCAACCAAATCAAAAGAGAAATTATATTATTGGCAGAATGAAACATAAAAGACTGATTTTTACAGAGCTGTTCAAAATGACTACCCAATTTACAAGCCATTGAAAAGTCACGAGTAATAAGACACCTGATAAGGACCTACAGAATTCCTAGAAGTCACTAAAGAATTGATAAAAAGCCATTATTCCATACCATTCTTTATTTTATTTAGAAGCAAGAGTACTATATATGTTGTGTTTCTTTAATCTCAGGCATAATTGTGTAAAAATTTTTGTTTTTCAACCAACAATATTACTATAAAAACAAATAATAGTCTTGCCATCATGATGGTGCACTCCAACACAAGAGATGCAAGACTATTCACTTCATAATTGACATTTGATATTGCTTATGAAAGAAATAGCCTTAAGCATATTTTTGCTTAAATGGTAATTACATAATTTTATGGCCTTATTAATTTCTGGCATAGATCCTAGGAACTCATCTAAAAATATCTCATTATAGTATACTACTACTCTAAACAGTTACTAGCAGAAATCCTTCTGAATATAAAATGATGTTCTTCTGATAAAGATTACATACAGCATGTCTTTTAGCAGTAGGTTTTACTTTTCCCATCTGAATTTTTTGCAGAATTTTTTTTAGCATTTTGAACAATAATTTAGAACTACATTGACAGTCACGCTAAAAGGCATTATATTGTTATGTCAACAAGATCAGATTAACTCCTGGTATTTTGTATCTAGATTTTTGGGAGAATTCATTAATATATATGTTTGCTGCCTTGGATTGCTTATAAAGTAATAAGGGGGAGGACAAAATCAAATAATAAATGCAACTTAACAATTAAACCGCAGCCCAAATTCCTGTCTGAAAAGTTAGCAGAAAAAAAAAACAGGTTTATGCAATATTGTTTGTGCATGCTGGTCAAGACATTTTTAATTCTGGTCAACCAAAGGTTTTACTTTTTAATAGAGTAAAAATAGACAAATATGTCAGTTATAGGCCTTTGCTTGAAACAGAATGCATTTTTCTTTTATAGTGGCCAAGAAGCAATAATAGCAAGAATGCCTAGGCTTTTAAGATTTACACATTTTGCCCCTTTGTCTTACATGTTTATTTTCTCAAAAACTTTGCCTGTTTTGTAAGGTTACTCTGTACTAGAACTGATCCAAAAGCCCAAGTTCCTAATTTCTAGCAATTTAAGAAAACAATTCTTAACATCTGAATTTCGAACAAGAGGATGGCTGGTTTTAAGGATTGTTTTTCTTTCCCAAATTTCAACAGGAACCAGGTTATTTTTAAGATGCCAATAATGCAAAGGACAATAAATGAGACTAACTCACATAATTGAAAAGATAATAGCTACTCATTGGTTGGAAACTAAAGGGATTTAAATAATCCAGCACTCTATAGTTATAATGGATCAGGTAAAAGTATATGCTAAAACATAGGAAAACTGGATAATGCTGTAGATGGCTATATTCAACTGAGCTCTTCTGTTCACTTCAAAAAAAAAAAAAAAGAAGTCAAGAATACTTCTAATCAGCTGGAAGATAATACAAAAATCACATTTGTGAAGTAGAATACATGCAAATATTGTGATCCATTTGGTCTGATGCTACTCATTTGTTCCAGTTGTGAGCTCTCTTGGGAAAGGCTGTTTCATTTCAAATATTTTCATGTATAACAGTGATTTTACTATTAAATGTAGTCTAACAATCAAATATGAAATATGAATTCAGGAAAATAAAGTCAACACAACTTTTCAAAGACTCTAATGCATGTTTCCAATAATTGTTTTTATTGAAATTTACCAAAAAGGTATTTGTTCTCTGACTATATCGTGTGGTGTTGAAAAAGCCATTTCCCCTCCCTTTACAATGCAAACCTATTCTGAGAACTTAAAAGTTAATTCTTATGTTCATATCTGTATGTACAAGACCAACTCTCTCCAAAATGCTGAATATATAGGGCCAGGACTCAATATCATTCATTTTAACTAGAACCAAGCCACAAAGATACATTGACATGTATTATAGATGTCACAAATATCTAAAAAAATGAACAACGTAACATAAAATATGGTTTTAACAATTCTACTCCATTTATAAACGTGATACGTTAAACTGCTCAGTTTTGTCATTAATACAATAAATAACAAAATTAGATGAGAAATATAAACAAAAGCTAGAACAGTCACTTCTTTGGACACAGAAAGAAAGACCACCCCCCTTTTAAGGCTGCAGATAGGAATTTTCCATCGAGATAAATTTATAAAGAATATCCATTTAGGAAAGTGATGCAATTACATATTGTATGGTCTTTGCATTTCAATACTTGCAATCTTTTAGCCAAATATGACTTTTAGTGTACAGTAAAGAGCTAAGAGAGCTTTAGTGCTACAAAACCTAAGTGCTGGAAACATTCATACACATAGTACTGGTTTACTAAGGACAGAGTTAGCTCATTGTTCTTTTTTCTTTTTATACATCTATGCTGTGAAGAGCACTGACATTTTTTAAAATGTGTCAGTTTAAACAATCACATATGTGATGGAAGGTCAAATGCAGTTCAAGTGGAATACATACAAGATATTTAAACAGAGAAGCAGATATTAATGTTTATTTGCAAATGCCTCAAATATAGATATGAACTTGAGAAAAATATTAAGCAATGATTCATATAATTATACTGTCTTTTTATGAAGTGAATAAAAACTAGTTCAATATTATAAGGCAAGTGACATTTGTGAAGCCTTGAGTCTGATATTAAATTCAAACCATTCAAATTGTAATTGCTAAGAAAACTTTTTAAATTTATCTGCCATTTCCAGATATACCATTATATGGCATATACCTCAGAGATCAGTCATACAACATTAGGAAGAGATCTGGGATGTAAGCAAGTTTACACACCAGTAATAAAATTGAAAGGAGTTGATGTTGCACTGCCTGTGGAATTAAGCATATAGCATGCAGACTTTTCTCTGCCACTATTTCTATTTACAATTTTTATTACATGGTTTTCTTTAAGTCACCGTGGCAACCAAACAATACAGGTATATTTGTTTGCTTTGGAATACTTAACACATCCAGAAGACCAGACTTTAATTCAGACTATAAACATGTGACTGCACAAATTTACCGTCACTACCATTTGTCTAAGTACAACACTAAACTCAAGATGAGCAGAAATAGATTTGATATGATTCTGATTGAAAGTCAAGATTCACAAAAATAGAATTTTAGGTTTATAACATAAGCCAAGGGATGGGTGTGTGTGTGTTTTTTTGCACTTTTCCATTTAGTTATCTAACCTTCTAATAATTTATTGCCCTTTGAACTGTGCAAAATATATTAGCTTTTGATGCAAAATGGTCTTTAGTTTCTAATACTTCTGGATAGGCTTAGGATATTTATGGCTTAAACTTGGACTTTTATCAATATTCCAGGCATGTGTTTCAACAGATATATCACTGCCCAAGATAAGATAATTAGATATAATTTCAAGACATCTACTGTCTGTTTAAAAATACATTCCCTTCCTTTCCTGAAGGAAAGACCCAACAGCTACTTCGTAGGTATAAAAGTCAACAGCCCTATTCAAAGTTCAATTTTATGATCAAATTATCATCCAAAGTTTTCTAAAGCAACTTAGATACCTACCTACATTGGAATTTACATGTGATAAATATACTATTTTTGCCCTAAAGGGCATTGCGCTGATGCATATGAAGATTTACTTCTATCAAATAATCCCAAATTACAAGCCATTGTTCAAGCAAATAAACTACTTAGTGCAAAGTTGTTTTGTTCTCCTGGTAGTTTAAATCAGATAAGTAACATTTTGGCCATTATCCAAGGTTTTTGCAAATTGTATTTACTCCAGTTATAATTCCAATGACCTGATGATAATCAAGTGTTTTACTATGATGCACTCAATACTGGTCATTTTTTCATTTTGTTCTGTGAAGTTTAGTTTGTCACTTCAATTCAGAATTCTTCATTTTGACATGCACCAACAACATGGGAATTGAACTGTACTACTATAATTGTGATATCATCCCTGTACATCCGAGCCAATTCTTCTGGAAGACTGAGCATCTTAGAAAGCCGTTCATGATCAACAGTGCCAAATTCATTATTTCCTACAGCATGGCGTATCAAATGAGTAGCAGCATTCTGATCTTCAAAGGCTGAAGAGACACGGGCTCTCCTTTCAGTAAGAAGTCCATGCATCTGTCCCAATGTTACCTTGTAACCACCAACAGCTATTGGCTCCTGATGATGAACACCTGTAAGATACTCACCTACAATTCTAACTACATCCTGCCTGTGCATGGTTTCCCACAAACCATCGGTTGCCAATATCAGGAATTTGTCCTGTGGTCTCAATTTGTGGTGTATCACTTCAGGCTCAGCTGTGAGATATGGAGGAGTATGATAGTTTGGTGGAATGAACTTCGTATATTCATTATCATTGAGTTGATCAGGGCCAGATTCTATTACTCTCTTCTGAAGGTCAATGCTCCACTTAAATTTGACATCACCAAAAGCTCGGAAAGGCATAAGTAAACCCAACAGCCGATCTTGTTTGACAACACTCTTTTCTTCGGACTTTGGATGTTCCATCTTAAGTCGTTCAATTTCACTTTCATTGTATGAATTATGATCATGAGATAAAGCAACAGCAGTCCAAGAGCCATCCTCTTCTTGGACACCAAGCATGGCTCTACTATCACCAGTATTGGCAACATGCAAATCAACACCATCTACATGAGCCACACAAGCAGTTGCACCAGAAAAAGCTACACGCAATACTAAATAGTTAAGAAAAGAATTTGGATCTCCAACTTGTGCTTCCAAAGAAATGTCATTGTCAAGCCTCTTAAATGCATTAATTAAAGCTTCTTTGACATCTGTTGTTTCTCCAGAGTTAAGATCTATGAGTTCTTGCCAGTAGGTTCGCAAGCTGTTGAAGTATAATTTGGAGGCTTCTTTACTGAAATAGTCATTAGGGTGCTTATGCCACTGTAAGATAGGTAACAGGGCCCTACCACTTTCTACAGCATTTTCTATTTCAAGTAAAGTTTCGTGAGGCAACAAAGAAACAGCTATATAATAAAACAATCTCTCACTGACAGCCTGGGCACATGCACATCCTGCATGGCCATCAAATACACCCAGAAGCATTCCTCTTGTCTGTAAACAAGTCGCTGCACTTCTTCGATCCTCTATGGGAGCATTGGCTGGCAGCTGGTTACTGTCAAAGCCAAGAACAGAACTTACATTTTTGCCGTCAAACTCTGGTACTTTGAAACTATATTCATTTGCCTTGAGGATGCTGTTGACTTGTGGAGGCGTGAGGTAAAATCGCTGTGGTGTGGAGACATAGTTTCTTGCATGAATAAACTGACTGAAGTTTTCTTTTGGTCTGCAGAGTGTTGCAAGTTTCTTCTGAGGAACATATCTCAAGTGCTTGTGAGTTAAAGGAGGGGACAAGCAACATAGATGCTTGTGGTGACAGTAACATGCAGTACTGTATAGCCTGCCAATCTCACAGTTGCGAATTAATGGAAGTAGTAGTTGAGCTGGTGCTGGCATGGCATCAGAGAACAATGGTAGTCTGGAGCTTTTGACTGGAATTGCTGAAAGAAAACACAAGACAATGTAAACTTAGGATGGCCATTTCATTAAAAAAAGTATATATACATCATATCATGTGCCCATATACTTTTATTTAAATACCTCTTTAATGTGTACAGCTTTGCTAATTCAACAGATACTTGCAGGAAGTAAGAATATTTTAAAGTATTAATCTAAGATTAAATATCTCAATTCACCCTATTATACTAGTAGAGAATTACAAATAGCATTATTTAATTGAAGCTTCAAGTTGGGAGAACAAAAGTCATCTCAAAAGCTGAAGCACCAAAACAACCACAACTGAAATCCTGTCCTTGAAAAGACTCTAATCTCTATACATGTAAGAAGGATTTGGACTGCCACGTGAAGGAAATTGCCACATTTGTTATTTGTGTTAATTATTGTAATCTGTTTTCTCTGATATGCTTCCTCTAAAATTTCACAAACTTAATAGCAGAATAGAATAACGAAGTTGTAAGGGGCTTGGAGGTCTTCTAGTCTATATAGGAAATTCTATAACAATTCAGACAAATTGTTGTCCAATCTCTTCTTAAAAACCCCTAGTTTGGAGCACCCATAACTTCTGATTAATTGTTCTGTCAGGAAATTTCTCCTTGATTCTTTCCTTTATTAGTTTCCATCTATTGCTTCTTGTTCTGCCTTCAGGTGCTTTGGAGAATAAGCTAACCCCCTCTTCTTTGTGGCAGCCCCTTAGATATTGGGACACTACTATGTCATCCCGAGTCCTTCTTTTCATTAAGCTAGACGCATCTAATTCCTGCAACTGTTCTTCATATGTTTTAGTCTTCAGTCCCCCTAATCATCTTTGTTGCTCTTTTCTGCACTCTTTCTAAAGTCTCAACATCTTTTTTTATATCATGGCGACCAAAATTTGAGGGGAACAGGCAAATATCATCTTTGCATTACCCACCAGTAAATCTGGCTCTAAGTTCACCATTTACAATTGACCAAGGATACTTATTGTGTATAATAACAATCATGTACAGCAGATTACAGTATGGAATTACAAAACTTCCAACAGATTGTTTTAAACAATTACTTAGTCATTTAATAGTCTTCAAGCAAATCAAAAAAATAATTAGTCACCATTTTGTAGATATTTTTCAACAACTATCTACTATTACACAGTTAGTGGTCTATGACAGCAGCAGCAACTTCAGAATTAATATGGAGTATATTATTGTATGCTAGAACTAACATCTAGCCTAGAGATTCCCAAACTTTCTTGCTTCATAGTGCCCTTAATGTAATTTTCTCACTGCACCCTATCAATTCTGACATATGCTCCATAGCACCCCAAAGACATTGGGACAGTTCAGTTTATTAAGTAGTAAAATATCCTACAGTGCCTGTGAAATTATTGTAATAACCTGGGTGTCAATTTGGGAGCCACAGATCTAATCCACAGTTTCAACTGACAGCTTTTCAAGAACTGCAGCAAACTCTCCTAGTAATATTACTTTAAAATAATTTTCTTAATCTAAAATCTTTTATGTTCCATAGATCTACAGAAATATTTTAGTTATTTCACAAGGTTTGGTAGAGAATGCAGAATTTAGGGTATTACTATCTAATTTGTGTTTTTCAGTCATATAGAATTTCAAAAAAAATAGTCAAACTGTCTTAATCTGAGCAGTCTGTATTTATTTCTTGCTTCTGTATTCCTATATTTTTGATCGCACACAGTTTGCTCAGTGTTTTGTTTACCTGTCAGTCTTTCTCAAATGCCAAGACGCTTTTTGCTACCTTAACCCTTAACCATAAAAGGAACACACAAGATGGATCCATTGTTCCTATTTTATTTTGTTTCTCTTACAATCATACCCTACACTGACTTTTACAGTGTCAATAGTAATATGCTACTGTGGAGAGCTTTTTTGGGGTGAAGCAGAGATAGCTTCTCTCATTGCACAATTTAAATATGTATATGATTTCAAATTCTGAAAATTTCTACCTTTAATAGATGAAAGGCAGAAATAAATCAAGTCAGACAGTTCTAGAAATTGCCAACAAGTGACCAGGTTCAGGTTCTTTTAATTCCTCAATTTTACCACCAGAGCTGTGGTGGTGCAGTGGTTAGAATGCAGTATTGCAGGCTAATTCTGCTGACTGCCAGACTCAGCTTTCCATCCTTCTGAGGTTGTTGGGGGACATGTGCTGATTCTATAAACTGCTTAAAGAGGGCTATGAAGCGGTATTTAAGTCTAAGTGCTATTGTTTTTTACTTCTTTACTGTCAGGTCCCCAGACAACCATATCAATTTTAAGCAGCTTATGACTATCAATAAAACAATTTGAAAGCCTGATATATGTAGAGTCACTTATGGTTACCTTGACCAATATTTAACTTTCCAGGTAAGTCTCAGCACTGTATCAGATAGAATATCATACCAGGAGTGTGATACAAGGTGGAAAACAGGGATGGGGGGAGGAGGCAAGGGAGAAATATATCAGTGTCATGCCCAATTTATTCCAGTAAATGAAGCAAGTTAAAATTAATCCTACCCGAGAGCATTCAAAAAACCAAGAGTGAAGGTAGTAACAATAGAATTTATCTTTATATCATGTTCTAGATACTTGGGATGCTTGCGAGCAATGCATTTGTACAAATAAGTACATTTATTCAACCCATATTCAACACATGTATAATGGTTGGGCACACGCATCCTAAGGATTTCTTAAAACCATAATCTGTTGAATAAACCGTAATTGTTAGGTCTACCTATAATGTGAAATCATAAAGCATATTTCACAAAGAACCATACTGTTCATGCATTTAAGCCCAAATTAAACAAATTGCATTGTTTAATGTATTGTGTGAAATCTGTTTTTACTGTACAATGAAGCTGATGTCTGTGACATCGAAATCCAAGGTAAGTTTATTTGTAAGAGTATACACTACTAGGGAAATACTGATTTAAGCTTAAAGAAGCATTTACAAAGACAATACTTACAGCACCTTTTTCAAAATTGATATTCTTCAGAATCGTTAAGACTTCAATTCCAAGAATTCACAGCCAACAATTCCAGAAGTCATCTACAGTAATATTTATTTAATACACTCCCTCATTAACCCATTACCCACCCCTAAAATTCTATTTCTCAGATAATAGGAGCAAAAAAATACCTACCAATTCTCCTGGGCCCAGGACACACACACATTCTCCTGTCACAACAAGAAGCCGCCAACATCCACAAAGCAGTAGCCCAGGGATAGCAAGGAACAGGACAGATTTATTAAGGGAGGAAGAAGAAGTCTCCAACATTGAAGGGGGACAGGAAAAAGAAAGACAGAAATACAAGCAGTTTGTTTGTAGTGACAAACATTAAGAAGCAACTTGCAGCATAGCCATTTCTTAACCAGCACTATCTAAGCTTTCTACAGCCGAACACAGAGCAGATCTCAATCACACTTGCTTTGCAACATAGCATCCAGTTCACACAAGACTCATCTGCTATGGCAGGCTCTGAAAAGCAACAGGCATATACACTGTTTTGAAATGAGGCTGGAGGAATAATCTGCTAAGCACCAGCTTCAATTATTCGAAGCCACCATCAAAGGGTATACAGCTGAGTAGAGTAATATCGAGTTTTCACTTTAGTATTTTTTACAAACTAAGATGATCAAGATTTCTCCAGCTTCATTGATCTAACAGAGATTAGTAAAGAGACGAACAGGACATATTCTGACCAGATTGACATTTAAATCAAAACTATATGTCCATATTAAACAAGTATTAGTACTGAAAATAACAAGTATGCCTCAATCTTCCTGAACACATATGAATATCACAGAAAAAATGAGGCTTCTTAGGTGAAGAACAGTTTATCACTATCTCTTCCAGAGTTTGGTGTTTTCAAGAGTCCCTTCTTACATGTCCCAATTTTCCTTATTTGAATATGGTCAATCCAGTTATAAGACATATATCCTATTTTCCAAGTTCCTTGCATATTCATGAGATAAAAGGGGGTCAATCACAAACCTGGCAAGACCACATCAGCTGTTTAGCCACAAAAGATAGAATGCCCTTATACTAGGAACAAACTAACAGGAGATTTTAACTATATCTTTCCCAGGATTCTGTCAATCCTGTTAATTATTCTCCATATTGCAGCTAGTGGTTTAAAGAAAAATGGGCTGCACAAATGAGTTCTTCTGAATACAAGGCAGGAGAAAATAAAATGATTAGTTTATGCAATGATCTGCCAATCAGATTAAAAGCTTTTTTATGTATACTAGAGGTGTCCCCAGGGAGAAAGGCAGCATTTTTAAGTATCATAAAAACTTCTAATAAATAAAATGACATCTTAGTTTTGTTCTTTTGCATTCAAGACAAAAACAATTAAAAAGCAACATATGCCTACTTCATTATTATTAATTTAATAGATGTATACAGCACAACTCCAGCAGATGGAAATAGCTGGCTGCCTATGTTTGAATTTGAAAGCTTAGAAAAGAATTGAGCTGGATTAGTACTGGGAGAAGTAAACTGTAGAGAATATCACAGGCTATGAAGAGATGAGAGACTAACAAACAATTATATAGACCAGAGTCCCCACCTTTTTGGGCACCATGGACTGGTTCCATGGAGAGAGGTTTTTCTGCGGACCGGAGGTGCTTGGTTTTGTGTGATGCCTGCATCACACGGATGGGGCTTTGCTTGTTTGTGTGGAGGCATGCTGCAGCCAGGTACTGGTCCGCAGACTGGGGGTTGGGGACCCCTGATATAGACAGCAATGGCAAAGATATTGCAAGAAAACATTAATTTTCTCACAATATCTTCACCGTTGCTGTCTATATAATTAATTTTCTCAACTTGAGATTTTTCAATATATGCTTATATATACATGCACATTATATACACAAGTACAGGAACAGTTAATGGAACTCAGAACTAACTTTTAAATATGGCCCATTTTGCTCAACAGGGCCTGCAGATAAGCTGGGGCTTTCCTGTCCTACTCTTACTATGCAAACCATATGGGTGCAAACCAGGACCAAAGCTTGACCCAAAGGATATTTTCTTTCCCACTACCCAGAGATGCCGCACAGTGAACCAAGGCTTTCTGAAGGCAAAACACGGATCCTGGTTTTGGTGGATCCCGAAATGTCACCTTCAAGTCGGACTCGGGGATGCATGTTTTTTTTGCATGCCCGGTTACAACGCCTTTCTTTCGGGGGGCTCCCTAAGAGACGCGTGAACTCGGGTCTGTTGCCGAAACAACGCCCGCGTCCTCCTGCAAGGGATCCCAGTCTCTTTCTGGGCCTTTCCGCCTGTACCAATGGGAGGCAGCTGCACTACAGCCTCGGCGGCAGCAGCAGCATCACTACCCCCGCGCCCAGTCTGCGCGCACTCCTCCGCCTCGGGCCCGAAAAACCGGAGCCGAGAGATGGCAGCGGCCGCTACCCAGGACCACCCGCGGTACTCCAGCCCCAGGGCCGGGTCTAACCCAGAGATACTGACCTGGCCCGAGAGGGGGAGAGGGAATGTGACGGTACCCGGCGAGGACAGCCGGGTAACAGGAGAGCGAGCGAGGCGACCGCCGTCCCGCCCTTCCGCGGCCGCCGTCGACAGAGCAACTCGGCCTCTCTGGCGCTCTCCCCCCCCCCCACCCAGAAGCCCGAGTGGGCAGCAGCGACCGCGCGGCTGCCTGAGCTTCTCGCTGCAGCCGCGCAACGGACACACAAAATATAAAACCGAGATAGATTTCACGGATCGTGGGCGGTTTTTGTGACGCTACCTCGATTATATAGACTCCGCTCGGCCGTCTTCATGCTCATTGGCTAAAGATAGAAATGGGCGGGGAGAGAGAGGGCAGATCACGTGACTGTCACGTTCGCTTTATCCCATGCCCCCCCCGCTTTTTTTTTTTCTTTCCTGTTTTAATGCTGGGGCTTGGCGGAGGGAATCTCAAATCTTACATTCGCGTCCGCCGATCGCTTTGCTGCTACTAGCTTTCGGAAGAGGGAGGCATCTTGTACAAATTGTCGCTGAGGACGTCTTTTTTTCTCCTTTTATTATTTTCTAATCTGAAAAGGCGGGAGCCGGAAAAAAGGGCGGATTCACCCGGCGTTGTATTTGGCTCGGATCTCCCAGAAGGTCCTCCTTCTTATAGCTTTTGGCCTATCAGAACGCTTTCTGAGGAGGGGCGTGGTCTATATTTCTGAGGTGGGGCCGCAGGAGGTGCAGATGAAAGCTGTACTCTATTTTGCTTTGAATAAGAATCTCAATGGACACTCAGCGTATGTGTTTGCACAGGGTGTGTATAATTAACCCCATGTTTTGGGTTTGCACAATAGACTAAATCGAAAACGAACCAAACTGTTTGTTTGCACGGCAGATACGTGGGTCTTAACATAAATCCAGATATTTCGATGTAGCCTTTGCAAGTACATTTTGGGTGTGAGTGGGCACAGGTCATCTACTTACCTTCTGGAATTGATTTTTGACTTTCCAGTTTAGACTCCAATCCTGGGATCCAAGCACTAATCAGATCTGACTCTGTTGCTTAAGGTTTCTAGGATTACTGCCTGCATAATGGAAAAAATAAAACATTTATTTGGCATTGCAGTAGTTAGATATTCATAAAAGTAAAGTTGTGCATAAGATTCAGCCCAAGACTCTTACATATAAGAGTAAGATAAATACAGCATGTGGTTCTGCTCAACAGGGCCATTAGAAAGCCTACCCTTAGCCTAGCTAGTTTGAGCTATTATATATTTCAAACTTTTTTCAGAAAGGGTTGAGTTACTTATAAAGTAATAAAGATAGGATAAAAAGCAAATATATATTTCAAAAAGCATAGTTTTCATTTAATCTTTGGCAGCTTGCAGAAGCAGAGGTTGGAATTGATCAAAAGGAATCAATTAATGTAGGTTGTCCTAGATCAGTGGTTGTCAACCTGTGGGTCAGGACCCCATTGGGGTCGAATGACCATTTCACGGGGGTCGCCAAACAACGCAGTCCGCCATTTTTCCCCCTTTTCCTTAGCTGTGCTACTCCCTTTTATTCTATTGGCTTTTGAAAGCCAATAGAATAGACTCTTTTGAATAGAGTCTAATTCTATTGGCTTTCAAAAGCCAATAGGAATTGTCTAGGCTGTCTCTGCCCTGCTGAGCCCGCCAAAAGTCCCATTCTGCAAACGGTGCTGCACCAATTGAGTAGTCCTCGACTTACAACCGGTTGAGTAGTCCTCGACTTACGACCGGTTGGGGGTCGCGACATTAAAAAGGTTGAGAACCACTGTCCTAGATCTCACATAACCCAGACACAAATCTCTGTTTTGGAGGAAAAGATAATGTTTGTTCCATGCACTGCAGAATAATGACTGAGCTCTGAATTAATTTGAGGAACAATTTGCTCCAATATCAGAATTATGGATATCATTGGAAAAAAAGTTTAAAATGCTAGTTTTAGGAACTTGATAAGTTGCTGCTTTCTAAAAATGGAAGAACTAGGCATTTGGTTCTCAGATAATCAAAGGTCTGCTTTTTTCCCATAGTTCCTTGCCATCCTTAAAACTTCCTTTTATTTTGTAATTTGATTCAGATGTTGTGGTCACAAAAGAGAGGGTGAAGGTATTTTTTTTAAAATATGAAATACTACTGGATTTCAAAAGCTTCTGTGCCAGTGATGGTGAACCTTTTAGAGACCAAGTGCCCAAAATGCAACCCAAAACCCACTTATGCACTGATGGGTGCCGGGTGGGTGTGGCCCATTGGGTGGGCGTGACTGCGGTGGTAATGGCAGACTGGGTGGGACTAAAAAGTTAAATCAATGAATTACAACTTTGCAAGATCTTTTTTTTTCCTGCAAGAAGTTAAAATTGACTGATTGATTGAACTTTTTTTTTTTTTTGCACACGGCGGCAGAGGCCTAAAGTGAAAAGGTTTTATAAAACCCAGCTGAAGGCCTAGGACTGGGACAACGGCGCGCATGCCCACAGAGAGGGCTCTGAGTGCTGCCTCTGGCACCCATGCCATAGGTTCGCCACTACTGTTCTATGCTATGAATGTTATGATTTTAAAAGCTTTCCTACCCTGAAGGTCAGCCAGAACTGGAAAAGTGACACGGAGAAAGACCGTTGGTTTTAGATGTCATACTGTGTGACTGAGCCATTTCCATTGGCCTACAGTAGAAGAAATATTATTTTTTTAAAAGACCAGAAGTAGCAAAGTCTGAACTTTTAAAAGATATCAGTTAGTTTATGAAGAGACATGCTGAGTGCACAAAATTATGTTGATTTATCTGGAAGGAAATCACAATTCTTAAAGAGACCCAGGGTATGAAACAATGGACATTTCTGAAAATGTGAAAAAAAAAATCTTTATTGGTATCTCTTGAGATGCTGTGCCAATTTTGCCATGCAATTCTTCCTTTGTACTTTTAAATAAAAACATATTTAGAAAAGACATTTTTATTTAACTTTACATAAATAGGATGATGCAGGAAGAGAATAGCATGATGAAAATGACTCAAATGAAACACGGTAATCCTGCCATTCCTGTCCTCAAGTAATAAGGCATGATAGGGAGTTTTGAACTAAATTGAATTGATCTGAATCTGAACTTCTAATAACATTGTTTGCGTTATAGTAATAGCACTATATTCTGCTTCACGGTGTTTTATACCCTTAAATGGTTTACAGAGTCAGCATATTGCTCCCCAACAATCTGGGCCCTGATTTTATTGACCTCAAAAGGGATGGAAAGCTAGTCAACTTTGAACCGGTGAGAATCAAAATTATTAACGGGTTGGCAAAATATGACTGAGCTATTGTGACCTAGAGACTGGATAAACCCATGTGGTAGAATTAATAGAATAACAGAATTCTACCATGTTCTAATTCTATCATATTGAAATTGCACTGCATTTCAGTCTTTACCCAGGCCTGATACTTGCTGAATTCTTTTCACATAGTGCTTGCCTTAGCAAATGGAATGAATTTCCACATATCAACCTCTATGTTTTCCATGACAAACAGAATAAAAAGATAAATAGTGGGAGAGAACTGGGATAGAAGATTCATGTTTCGAATTGTAAGGGAATGCAAATCATACATTCAAACTCAAATTTTCACCCTGTCTTTTAAGTCCCAGGCAAGCAACTTGACCCTTCCATTAGGTAGACTGAGTTTGGCTGACTTTAGTACTCACTTTTGACATCGTGAAAAGGCCCATTGCTAAGCTAGTAACTTATTGTTGCTACTACTACTACTACTATTATTACTATTACTATTATTATTATTATTATTATTATTATTATTGGCTGGATTCAAACTTAGTAATAGAATAGACCAATTAAGAGCAATGGAGAATAGAATAGAATAGAATAGAATAGACCAGAACCTTGGAGGTCTTCTAGTCTACCCCCCAGCTCAAGAAGGAGAACCTATACCATTTCAAACAGGTTACTGTCTAGTCTCTCGTCTCTTAATAATTATGTCTCATTGTTTTCCATGGGTCTATGTATGTATGTCCCATTGCCCTTTTTTGGTTGAGTTTGATAATTGCCATAAGGCAAAGATACTTGTGTATCTGTGTACATATTGGTTCAGGTGTCAACTTAACATGATTAGTCTTGGCTTGGATACAAGGTGTTTTAATAGGAAGAGGTACCATTTATTCTCCAGAGGCAGCATAAAGTTTTAGGATAGTTTTGACCAAGCAAACTAATAGCCCAAGGTAGCCAAATGTTTGTACCTACACACTGTTTTCAGCTAATATCATGTACAGAAAATGTGGCAACCCTATACCAAAGAATGTTTTTAGTTTGACCAGTTTGGCTGTAACAGGACCGGGGAAAAGGGAAAATACTTAAAAATGATTTCTCAACTTTCTGTGAGAGTCCCACTTCTTGTTTTATCTGTCCTGTTTTCCTTGCCAGTGTTGACACTTACAGAGTACTCATTACCTTCGTAACCTGCAATTTCTCTATCATGTTTTCCTCTTGTTTCTGATGGAACTCTTCACGATTTTAGGTATAATTTCCTTTACAGCCTCTGCATGATTTTTCTAGACTGAAATCCCCCAATTTGAACCAGTACATAGAAATTAAACTACTTAGAAGGCAATCTGCTGAACTGCATTTCAGTCCAGATAGCAAGTCATCCATTTTATCAAATGTTATCAGGACACTTGAGTATTGAGCCACTATCTGCTATTTATATATTAATCATGAACAGAAAATACACTTAAAATTCCAAATGGCTTTGGTCTGTAAACAGCTTTCTAAGTGAATTTCATATTATCTTATTTACATTCCAATGTCCAGACAACATCAGTTTCAACAAGTGGGATTTTGCAAGGATCAATTGAGAAATGGCTGTAAATAAAGGTTGAGTAATATTCCAAAGTATAATATTACAGATTCAGAGCATTTCAGATAAAAGGAACTGTGAGAAGTCAAAGAAAAAGTGGGTCATGGTGACCTTACTCTGAATACCAAGAAAAAAAAAGTTGTGAAGCTGTTTGCTCCTCAGGAGATCTTTTATTTTACTGTAGTCAAAATGTTATCATTTTCAGAATGGCCTCAATAATCTTAAAAAAGTGGTTCGGTTTTTTAAGTTTTGCTCCCCCAGACAAAACAAAAACAAAGCTTACAGTATCCAATCAAACTTCCTATTTAAAAAAAAATCAACAAAAGAGTGCAATTGAATCCAAAAAACTCCAA